GTGGATGCAGCTTATTTTTTCTCTGTATTTTAGCCGTATCGCTAACACCAAAAACAAACAAAACAAACCCTTATCGTGAAATCTTATAGTTGCTATTATCTAATCCAGGGGTGGAGAATTAATGGCCCCAGTGCTACATTCAATATTATTTGACACGCAGACAGTTGAAAAGGCGGCACGGTGTACTAATCCTGTAAGTACCTATACCAGTACCATTCGACCAAAACGTTTCGCTGTAATATCCTATTCAACCCTAAGAATAAGGGTTCTTTTCTGCGCATGTCGCGAGGTTTTACTCGATTTAATTTATAGATTTAATAAAGTAAACGTTTCTTGGCACTTTTTTTTACGAACTAAAAATAGTAAAATAATGAATTTGTGGCATTATTTGATGCTTTTAATATTTGAAGTTCTGTTTCCCTCACGAACAGTAAGTGCGTATTTGAAAGCTCCTGTTAATTTGCGAACAGTCCCTACGCTATATATATTTTATATTCATATTAACTTCCGATTATAGCAATCTACCTACTTCGATCAATACTAAAAACCAGCCAGGTTAGATATTATTTTCTTACTAATGCATTGTTTTATCATCCGAGTGCCTTCTCTCTTAATGATATTTTCGGCCATAAACCCAATAATATCATCACGATAGACCACTCAATTTCAGAGTGATGTGAAGATCGCTTCAATAAAACTGTGGCTCGTCAAAGCTTATTGGTGGATTGGATTGCCCTCTACCGCTCAAAGTTGTTCATTCCCGATCTGATCCTCATTTGAAACATTCTTGTACTTATAAATGATATAAGGAGTTTTCTAAAGCTACAGAGGTAAATACTATATTAACTTTAATTTTAATTTTCTATTCTTCTTGAACAAAGTGGTCACAGTTGGATGTGCCGTTACATCACTTAACACGAGTGATCGCTTCTCTTTTTTGGACGTCATTGTTTCTTGTACCCGTATCTGGCGAGGTTTGGTAGTTAAGGCGCTCGACTCGCAATCGGAGGGTCGCAGGTTCCAATTTTCGTCCCACCAAACAATCTCCTGGCGGGACAGCAGTAAGTCTTCGGATTTACAACACTAAAATCAGGGGTTCGAATCCCCCTCGGTGGACACAGCAGTTAACCCGAAGTGGCTTTGCTATAACAAAACACAAATCCCACCGAACATGCTCGACCTTTCAGCCATGGGAGCGTTATAATGTGACGTTCAATCCCATTCTTCGTTGATGAAAGAGTAACCCAATAATTAGCGGTGGGTGGTGTTGACTAGCTTCCTTCCTTCTAGTATATCACAGCAAAATTAGGGACAATCGAAGGGTTATAACAAAGACCTCAAGAAAGAAAAACTCCAAAAAAAAATGTTCCTTTTAAGGACTAAAGTAAAACCAACCTCTTAGATTTCAAATTAAGATATACGGGTTGCCAATAGCAACTGTTTGTAAGGGGTTAAAACAAGGAGAGTGTGTACGGATTCTCAACAGAAACAGTATGAAACAATGTATAGTAACAACAATGTAGTTAAAACACTGCTTGTACTGAAAACCCATCCGAAACCAGTACAGTACAGCTCTCACTGTGTTGTATATTGCACCTATTATCCACTAAATTGATATTTAAGCGTTTTATACCGGTAGGTAAAGTTCTGGTAGTAACAAATACATATAGAAATTATAAAGTGTTGTAATTTTATACGTGAAAAATGTAAAAAACATAATCAATTAACCACTGTTAACTAAACTTTAATATTGATATACACTGTTAACTGAACTTTAATATTGATAGGTGAACGTTGGAGCTTCTAACCTAATCTTTGTTATCTTTAAAAAAAAAAAGGAATTGAAGAGAATTACAACACATTTTTCTAACTTATTTATATATATTACTAGATCCACCAATCATGTCATTAAAAGTAGTCTCCGACCCCGAAAAAGTTGGAATTAAGGAAGAGGATGACGTAACGTTTGAATGCGAAATTCAGGCTCATCCTTGGGTAAACAGTATAAACTGGCATTTCAACGGACGTAAATTAAACAACGATCCCTTATTAGGAGTTATCATCAGCAGTCAGTCTATGGTTCTACAGAATATCAAGAGGAGTTTCAGGGGACGATTCTTCTGCTCAGCTACGAATCTCGAAGGCGAGGGGTACAGCAATGAGATTTTCCTCAAGGTTAAGTGTACGTTGTTTTGACATTAAAATACTTTTGTTAATATAAATGGAACCTGTGTGCAAGTGACCTTGATCATTTAAAATCTGCAAGTTTACAAAGTGTCTCTGTAGAAATACCTTGTTGGATCATTTCTTTATTTGTGTTGGAAAGAAAAAATGTGGTCGTTACTTCTCTGATAACACAAAGTGTAATGGATCATCTTGTTACCGATAACACACACTGTAATGGATCATCTTGTTACTGATAACACAAAGTGTAATGGATCATCTTGTTACCGATAACACACACTGTAATGGATCATCTTGTTACTGATAACACACTGTAATGGATCATCTTGTTACTGATAACAC